ATTGACCATTGTTTTTGGCATTTCATATTTGCATACACAATCCAATTTTCATCACCGGTGACAATTCTGTACAAAAATTGTACACGCACATTACGTGCCTGAAGAGACGAAGCAACGTTCACATGTTGGAAACAATGATCAATGGAGAGTTTACAAGGCACACAAACACCTTCTTTATGCAGTTTTCCCATATTCCTTAGATGTTTACGTTATGTTTCATGAGAGACATGCAATTGCAGGGCCATTCCACGAGTGTGTTGCCTTGGGTTAGACTCAACAAGCGTTTTCAGAACATCAATATAAATTCCAAAATGTCGGCCCCTGCCATCACAGTTTTAAAGGCTTAAGTCATATTAACGAAATTTGCTGAACCATTATTGACACTTACTTACGTTCAAAGCATTTCCATAAACCTTCTGGCTACAGAGGTGTTGTTTCCCTTCTTGTATTTAAGCAGCATTACATGCCGAATGTGTGTCTCATCGTGTGCCATCACTATAAGGGATTAGAGCAGGGATTCTCAAATTTTCCTCCATCATTAACCCCCTCGGCTTGATGTAATTCTCCATTTACCCCTTACTTCCATACAAAAAATTCATAGCCATCATAAAGGGACAGAAAAACAGAAGGTCAGAAAAAAATATTATTCAGGTTTTTGCACAAAAATAGCAATGTACATTCGTATCACCAAAAATAAAGAAAATAAAAGATTATTTTCTAAAGAAAAAAATATACAGTCCATTTTATCACAAAAAATGAAACCAAACAGAAACATCAGAAACATTATCAGTGGGAACACTGCTGATTCATTGAGTCAATCAGTTTGTTACTCTCATATCGTCATCGGCTTTCAATCGGTTCCTGGCCTTTGTCTTCATTGCTACTAAACTTGAGTACCCTAATTCACATAATTATGTAGTGACAAAAGGAACAAACACTTGGAAGGCACGCTGAGTAAGGAGTGGGAATGAATCTGCGAGTTTTACCCAAAAATGAACACCAACCTTTTCAAATTCTTCTCTAAGCGTAGCTGAGGATTGAAGATCAATCATCTCCTCTATTGCTGGGTCATTATCTTTCATTTCTGACAGTTCAGTGACAAAAGGTCTTATTATCCATCTCTCTGTTGGAATCATGTATTTTGAAAAGTAGCCAGTGAAGTGATTCTTCAATATTTTCAAATGTTCTGTGAGATCTTCATTTATCTCAGGTAACACTCCAGATCTTTCCTCATCCAAGTTTGGAAAATTTGCAAAGTTACTTTGGTGAACTCTCCGTGCCCATGAGTCCAGCTTTGTCTGCAATGCTGTCATCTTTTCACTTGCTTCAACAATGGTACTGACGTTCCCTAAAGTTATTTGTTGACTTGGTTAAGATGGGTAAATATATCTGAGAGGTACCCCAAACAGGTGATGAACTTCGGATCAGCAAAGTCTTCACATAGCTTTGAATTCCGGTCACGAAGAAAAATCTCTAACTCAGTACGGAACTCAAACACACGATTTAAAATAAGTCCACGAAAAAGCCACCTCACCTCAGTATGCAGTAAAAGAATGGAATGCTCAGAGCCCATCTCATCACAAAAAGCTTTGAACAAACGGGGATTCAAAGCTCGGGCCCGAATGAAGTTAACAGCCTCAACAACTTTCTGCAAAACGATTTTCAGTTTTCAGGAAGCGTTTTTGCAGCTAATGCATGTCTGTGAAGAACACAATGTGTTGTTATCACATGGGGTGCCTTTTGCTTCACAAGTGCAGTGAAGCCTGATCTCACTCCCATCATGGCTGGAGCTCCATCAGTACAAATTGAACCAACAATGTCCCATGTGAGATCGTTCTTTTCAAAGAAGTCTTGTATTTTCTGCATTATATCAATAGCCTTTGTGGTTTGTTCGAGAGGTCCACAAAAGATAAATTCATTTTTTAGTTCTTTTTCACATATGTAACGGACAAAAACAAGAAGATGTGAAAAATTGGCTACTTCACAGGATTCATCAAGCTGCAAAGAAATTTTTGCTGGGCTAGATTTGATCTGTTCAATAACTTGTTGACAAATATCTTGCGACATTTCTATAATACGCCGATGAATTGTGCCATTAGAAAGGGGAATGGCTTGAATCTTCTGTTTTTCTTTATTCCCACATACATGTTCAACCATGTCTAAGGCACAAGGTTTAATCAGCTTCTTGGCTATGTCATGAGGTTTCTTTGACTTTACTATTCGCATCGCTACATGATAGGAAGCTGCAAGCATTGGTTTCTTCTCAGATACGAAGCCAAGTTTGGGCAGTGTTCCTGCAGCCCTAAACCTAGCTCTCTTTGCCTCAAATGTAGCACGGTCATCAGATGCATGGGCAGGATGTGTAGCTTCCAGATGCTGTTTCAATATTGAAGGTTTCAGTGACCCATTTCCAAGAACTTTTGAGCACAGCAGACACTGAGGCTTCTCTACACCATCCACAACAATGAAGTCAAAACCATATTGTACATATGAATCCAGGTATGTACGTTTCTTGGACATGACAAAATCTGAAAAGAAATAATTATGAATTAGTATAGTGACTATATAGGACTGAACAGGATTGACTGACACTCTCCCTTCCTCCACCTCCTCCCTCTCTCCCTCACGCATGCACGCGAGCACACACACACACATTCTTAGCATTCTCTCTCACACACACACATTTTACAAAATGAAATTTAATTGAATTATTATTCAATCATCAGGTACATCAATTAGTTACCCCCTGTCATGTAATTTTTTTACCCCCAAGGGGTAAATTTACCCTTGGTTGAGAATCACTGGATTAGAGTATACTGAACTTTACACTTTATAAAGGCTACACTAACGTGAGGTTTAGGCCGTTTAGGCGGTTCTTTTAACTATTATAATGTGATGTACGTTTTTTGGGGGTGGTTAATGAAAGTGTTCCAAAACGTGACATTAATTTCTTGACGACCTAATAGATGTCTGTATGGCGGCAGAAGTAAACAAACATGACTTTCACCCAATTTCGACTAGCTTGTATAATGTGTTGAGGGGGTTGACCCATCAACAACACCAGGGGCGTGTTGCTATGTGCACATTGCTAGGTGGTATAATAGAATTACATACTCTATTCCAGGGGCATGAAAAATTAAACAAACATGACCTTCACCCACCAACAACATCAGGGGGGTGTCACCAGATGGCGTGTTACTAACATTTTTTTTTTCATTTGACTTATATTTAATTATCATGGATACTTTCTGGGATACTGTAGAGAATAATGATTCGTGAAATTCTCAATATTTGATAATACAATAGGCTATTATGTTCTGCCCCCCCCCCCCCCCCAGTTGCCACTGCGGTATATCTGCGGACTTACAACGCTAGAAACCTGATTTCAATACCCATGGTGGTCAGAGCTCAGACAGCTCGTTGTTTAATTACAAACAAACAAAAAGAACATCATTTCTGTAATTAATGTATTGTATGACATCTATTCGCCCAGAAAAAGGACCTCTAAATAACATACAATATTTTAATTGTAAAAGATCTATGTCAATAACTGTGTATTTACCATTACTATTGTAGAAAATTATAT